GTCAGATTTAAACAAAAAAACGGCATTTTGCGTGTCTGCTTATCAAGATTGACCTCCTGGATGGTTCAAGCAACGCACACATCCAAATTCAACACACTGGAATGTCGTGTTTACATAAAACGGGCACTTTCCATGACAACAGCGATCTCTGGAAAGCGGTGCAGTTTCAGATCAACTACCACCTCCTCGCCATCTCACCTCTGTTGCCAAGTCAACTCCGGTGCTGCGTGAGGAACTGGTGAGATATTAGGAATGAATGAGGGAGTGGTGTGGTTACTCTGCAAATTGTAACCGACTGATATCTCGAAGGTCCAGTTGCCTATTGGAGCCATGATTATTGCTGTTCCAGGTGTTCCACTACTTTACCTCTCACTTCCGCCTGCCCACCATAAACTCGCAATGAAGACCACTGCCAAATGTCGTGCGACATCTCCAAATCAAACACCAGCCTTGTCGATGACACCACTGACACCAACGCCCAATGCGTCGTCGAATGTGCTTGCGAACAAAGCCAATTCACATGTAAACACTCGCCAGCTTTAACTCGGCTCCTTGTTTGACTCAAGGACATTCATTAACTTGAGTGATTTCGCTCCCATCGAAATCTGAGGTGCTAAATCTGATTGGCTTGTGGTGGAGGACAGAATGAATGCAAGCACCCTCTCTATCTTGGTTATTAAATAAGCCGGTTATTTTGAAGCATCTGAGATATTGTTCTATGAAGGTCAGTAAAATCGACACAGTCTGTGTTCAGATACAGTGACTTCAGCAACGTAGTGTTTGTACGCATGCGAAATATCGCCGATGGCTAGAAAGCCTGAAGTGAAAAATTAGATTTTATCAACCCCAAAACGTCATTGGCTCGTGAGCCAGGTTGAAGATGTTGGGCTGGAATCAACCTCCACACACCTGAATTGTCAAACTGAGCTTAATTTGACCACGTGAAGCAGCCTTTTACTGGTGTCTTCCACTAACCCCTGAATCGTGACTCCTCATATCGCGCCAAACTGGTTGTTTTGCTGAGCTGACGCGTTTGAGGATTGGTCGGCTTGATTTTCAAAGGCCTTCAAGCCCTCGACTGGATTGTTATTATATGCATATTCACAACTAATATTTACCGTCTAAATAGCTGTATTTGTGTTTTTTTACGAAACTGACATCGGCGTATTTATCGGTAAACACGATGCTGTTTACAGGCGCAGACTCCAAAGGATGTCGGCAAATTACGGTGTAGGATACAACACACCACCCCCACCCCACCCTTAAGACAGGGGACTAGATAAAGACAAAGGAGAAATGCGAGTCAGAAAACACACCCATCAAGTTGATGTATGCGGGTAAACGGCCGTGGCCTTGAAGTCTGCTTGTGGTTGTATGATTTCACGGTGAGACACGACATGTCCTCAAATGAGGTGTGGTAGTGTCTGCAGTGGACCACTGCACATCTCATCGTACTTCGTGTTCAACGCAGATGACGCACACATGGTAGCAGGGACAAAGTCATGATTTATCATCATACCACAAGAATGCACAAAGCGTGCTGTCAGTGTAGAAATGAAGGCCTTGCAGTAGAATTTTTGATCGCTTGCAAAGATACTGTAAGAGGCTCGGTCTCCTTCATTACATCAACAGAAAAACCACATTTCAGAATTGTTTTTGTGGTTAAGTAGGGTTCCATCTGAGGTACAATGGTGAAAGTTAAATGAGGGAAGCATTTAATCGAAAGCATTTAAGGGAACTTTAGCCAGCTCTCCCCCTGTCTTCCCACTCTCCATCGTCGTCATAATATCCTCCTACATGTTGTCACCCTGTCAATACGTCTCCTGTGTGTTGATACGCAAATGCAGGATTCTGTTCCTCACAAGTCCAGTGTAAGAAACATGTTGTCTCGTGCAAATTTACGTCGATGGTCATGTAAAAGTGGAATAAACGTTGTTTTGGCATCTACTGAGAGGTTGAAGTGATTGACAGGCAGATTAATCACTGCAGATGTGAAAACCCTACTAATTGACATTACAAATGACAGTTGAGTGCCAGAGATTTAAGAGAACCACTGAGCCATATGGTTCACGGAGGCGTGTCATGGTTATTGTGAAAAAGGAGCATTCAGTCGATGTTTCCGTGTTTTCGATTTGCACATTTCTGTTAGAGATTCAAATCGGTGTCATGACTGGCGTTACACCAGGGCCGCTTCTTTGTTGTGTGATTTTTGTGTGTGGATGGTGCAGCTTTTAATTGGTTCTGAGAAAGGTGGTTGTTAAAACTGAGTTGAGCTCTGTGCCAAATTACTGCTGGAAAAAATTAACCGGTATTGTGCCTGCAATTACGACCAACCTCATCATTTTTCGTGGTGACTCCAAATTGACTGCTGGGTGTTTACGATGACATCACAAACACTCCCCGAGTGTTCTTCATTGGTCGCTTCTCAAAGTAGATAAATTTAATTCAGCTCAAATGTGAATAATCGATTTGTGTGCCTTGATTTCTGCCCAATAATATCGTTTGAAAGGCAAATATCAAGCCTAGCCAATGAACTAACGGTTGCTAATAGTTACAGCCAACCAATTATGGCGTCGCATTCTTTTTACCTATTTAGATGCACCGCATTCAGTGTGCATATCAAGCGGACATTGAAATTGGCTACATACAACAGTTGAGAACCAATGCGTGTCCTTATGTCCACACACATGCCAACAAGGTGGATTTACTCAGAAAATCACAGACTTTAGCCTCACTTTTTTAAACGGTCCCACGGAAAATTGCTTGCACTTTTAATGTGTTTACTAGTCAAGTTAACCTAAATTTCATTACTCATGCTGACATTGTATGGGCGGCAGCCGATATTTCATCTGGAAATGTGGTGTCAGACGCACAAGACGATCTTAGACCACGAAACAGATTGTCACGTGTGCATTTGTTGGTAGGGTAAACTACTGCGAATATTGCACAATAGCTCCCGTCGTTGCACTAAGTCACAAAAGACGCAAAGACTTCAGATTTAATTAGCATAACATCCTACTGATGTAAATTTAGTAAAATGCTCTTATCAATTACCACTGGTGCTGTTCCACGCAAATTTGGTAAGTCAACCGGCAGTGTTCGAAGCACCCTGTAGGGTCTGAGGCGATTCGTTCACTAGCGAATCAACTCCGTAGAAATACTTTCAACTGGTGAAATATTTGATATTCAAACTCTCCACTTCTGGTTTTCTGCGTGGACGTTTCATGTGTGAAATAACTGGCGTGAGCGTCTTGCTCTCGCGCAAGTCGAATTCAAGAAAAAAATCAAGAGAGGGTAAAGGATGGAAACTGTGGAAATGAATGTGACTCAGTTTCCAGAAAAGAGTGTTCAGAAAGGCCTTGAAGCCATTCTGGTTTGTGTGTTTGGGTCTGGTCGATACTGTCGCTCCATTTGCAAATAGTCATTACCTAGATTCGGTTTTGCCAACATTGACTATTCACTTCATTAAAACATAAATGAACGCTCCAAACATAGCCATGGTCTAGGAGCTAAGTCAGGTTAACGTTAATCCCAGGAATGGTCTCTTCAAGGGAGTGTTTGTGGCGTTCTTGTGTTTATATGTCAAGCGCCTACAACTAGTAATATTTAAAACTGCGAATTGCCAACTGAAGGGTGAAATTTCAAACTCTTAAAAAGGTGTGAGCAACCTGACTAATTAGATTAACGTTTTCTTTTTGTTAACCACTTATGCACTTTCTTGAGAGGATACAACTGACCTTGCACTATTTAAGTACAAGTACAATCTTAGTGGGATGACACAGAAAAGTTGCCTTGTTCTTCGTAAGCAAATGGTAATTTATTTACGACGCAAAAGTCATTGTAACCAGTTCTGCCATGGGATTTGTCAATTTGTTGACCAATCGAATGACACTTGAGGCAACGCAAAAATCGATACCACGGTTACCTGACAGCGTGGTGCATAGTGAAGAAAAACTTTGTAAACCGCATTGATTGGTAGAAAAGCCGTTTATCGATTGGTCACGATATAAAGCAACACCTTGTCAGCATTTTTTTTAAAAATGCAGTGGATTTAAAAAATGAAAATGTGAATACTAATGAACACGTGCTGAACAAACAGTTACGTAGTCATTTTTGGCAAATAAAATAATTCCACAACAAACGTATCCGTAAATCAATGGCTAATTATTCTGTTACGTTGAAGACAGTCTTGACGAAGTCTTAAATCGCTAACAATAGTGAGTAACTCCTCCCAGCGGGACCATATTTCTGAATCCAGGTAACGCGGTCGACAATCCTCCAAATACGGACTTTCGGTATCAATTGGTGATGATTAGTCAGTCACATCACTCGCCATAGGCTACGTAAGAGACACATTTTGCAAAGCTGGCAGTTCCATTAGCTTGAACAATCAACTTGAAGCAGGTGTTGGGGGTAGGTAGATAGTTAGCAGAAGCCTTGAAGATCAAAGGCAACACTAGGGGGCGCTGAAGGGCGTTATTTAGACGGGTGATTTATTGTAATTTGTTTCAGGCCAGTACCTAAGACACGACCCCACCCCAATGCGTCACTCTGACCCGGTGGTAGACGCCAACATGTACCAACAGGCCCGGAACCGGCGTCCACCGCCGTTCCCCCCACCACCCCAACCTCACCGACTCCGGCATGAGCGAGGCCGGCAGGCAGATGATTTGTCGTCTGAGTTTTACTCACCTCCTGCAACCCCCTTGTTAGCCTGCACGACAGGAGAACGCACTACGCACGCACACGCGCGCTAACCCTAATCAATTTAGTCACGTTTAGTGGGGACAGTGATGATAAACAAGTCCAAGTGTTTTGTCCATTCGGCGTGGAGCACGATCTGCCCCAAGGCATGCTCACCTGACTTGCCCACGAAAGCGGAGGGTCTCATATGCCTAGGTTGTTTTAATGGAGTGAGGTCCGCAGTGAACTGGTGCCTGCCTTAGAAGATTAACACACTGAAAAGAGCGAAATCAGATATGCGAAACAAAGAGGGCCTAGGAGAATTCGTGAAAGCTTATGATTGGTTGGAAGCCGCGACAGGTATAATTTATTCCAGGACACTGGAGAGTTGTCGCTGATATATGCCCTGCCGGACATTCGATTCGTGTAAACTTCCATCGTGAATGAATGGTCGAGACATTGTTGTGGCTAAGGAAAATTGTTTCCTGATCTGATTTCGAACCCCACAAATAAAAAATGACGGGGCTTTGTCACGCCAAAGCGATGTCTGCAGACAACAAATGGCGACCGTGACCATTGGTCCATTCGTCGCATGCATGTTTACACAAGTATACAAGATGTCTGGTAAGTGGGACAGCTCCCAGATAAATGAAAACAATTACAATCGAGTCCCGACTGCATGGTTTGGGAGTCATCTGAGTTTGTATGGTTAACTCATGGATGCTTTCAATCAAGACAGCTGTGAAAACACTTTGGATCTTGTCGATTGTCCTGTCTACTTGATGGGTCGTGTGTTCACGAGCTCTCGGAAGAAGGTACAATTGTAGGCGATGTTCAGCGCGTAACCCCGTTATGTGGGTTACAGGCACAGACCCTTAGTGAGGTTCAAGGAACCGTTTATCAACCAATAGGAAGCCGAGTTCCATCTCAAGTTGGCAAACTTGGCAGGAGCAAGAAGAAAGCTCTCATTTCGTGTGCTACATGACTTAATTTGTACAGATTTTTACATCGAGCATAAAATTGTATTTAATTATAAATATTTTCGCGGTCTTTTGGGGTTTTGAATTGATCGGACGTAAGATTACGGAAAACTAAACAGCAAGTGTACGTAATTTATGTAACCTCTCAGAATAACAGAGTTTACGATGGTAACTGACAAATAGCACATTCTATTTGAAGCTTCTAGAGCACAGGAATCAATTTGACGTGTTCTTGGTGCCAACCGTGTGTCCTATGAAACGTCTAATTGTCGGTACAAAAGTCTTAGAAGTGGTGATTTAGATCTCAGTGATCACCCGTCCTGAAAGTTTGAAGATGCAGACTTGTGAGGACAATGCAAACACGGAAAGAGCTTGTAGTAGCTCAGTTAGGAGTCACCCAGACAGCTGCCAAATGTGAAAAATGCAAAACTTAGGGGCTGGATACCCCCACAAGTGTTGACCGGACACAACCTAGGTCAACGTATGGACACATGCCTTCCACTGCGCGCCCGCCAACGGGTGATGAAAAGTATGTTTTTTTTACGATGAATCCAAATGTAAAATGTCGTGGGTAGATCCCGGGCAACTCAGTACCTCGACGCCGAAACAGGACACCCACTTGAAGAAGGTTCTCCTGCGTAGTTGGTGGGACATGAGGGGCGTACTTTATCACGATGACTGCGAGCAAACTGAGCCGAGAACTGGGCAAGAAATCAGGCAGGTCACACTGTCGCATGACCTCATGTTGCTCAAAGTCACTGAAGACGGTGGAAAATATCTCGAAACTCAAGGTTATTGTTCTGTATATTGAATAAATTTGATGAACAATCTGTAAAAGGTACACCAGGAACCTAATAAATTAACTGTATTCTAAATATGTGGGTTAAAAATGCTTATTTTTAACATAGAACTGTTTTTGATTTTGAGGTTCGTAAAACAACGACAGGTGCTGCGTATTTGAGGGTGACAACACCTCTTCAGCTTGTATTTGTCGAAAGAAAAGTCAAGACTTTATGCGACGGATTGATTTCATTTGCATTCTATTTTTTGATAATTGCTAAATTCGTCTCACTTTCGAAAAATCGATTTACTAAATGGGAAAGGTGCCTATCCATTCTTTGACCTTGGCATTTCATTGGACGCTTGAAATCGAACTACCGACTATCGAACAACTACTCAAATCTCGAAAAATTGCCATCTGAATTTCCCAATCTTAGTGCAATTGATGATATTTCAGGAAATTTAAAACACAATCCCGCCAACCCTAAACCTTTGCCAACTTCTCCATTTTTGGTTTACACGATCATGCAGAAAAGTGATTTGCATCCTCCAAACGCTCACACACCCCAAATATTTTTTCTTCCTTCATTACCAGTAAATATTTGGCAATCAATGGATTAAAGTTACGTAAATTATATCTTTCTAGTAGAAATTAAACATCGAGATTTGAACCATAGCTAGCGGAAGATGTGATTTCAGGAGTGTGGCGACTGGACAGTTTTATTCGGCCATACTTCACCTTGAACAATATCGATAAGTGTTCTGTTCCGTTCTTTGATATTGCTTGCTCTCTTACAGTTAAAGATTAAAGTATTTGCCGAAATAAAGATTTATTAACTGGGCACATGAGAAATGAAGCACTCTAACATGGATTCACCAACGCATAAAGTCGTTACTTGATGTTTTTACGCTGCGTTTGACAGTAAATTCCGATCATTATCGCTTCGCAATCTAGTCTTACGAAATCACACAATTTTACAACAAAAAAACTATTTCAACCAATTTATTTGCTGAAGTTTGTTAGGTATTTACATATCAGCAATGGCAGACATAGTGAAGTTGTTCTATGCGCACAATGAACTTAAACACACACGCATACACCTCTGGAGTGTAAACTGCCTGCTCTCGGAAACTGGTCTTCCTGAGATGCCTACTTTGACGTAGACTTTAAGTAGAGTAAAATTATGACCCAAGTGTGATGTGTTTTTGTAAATTCGATCGCTTTCAGCAGAAATTAACTCTTCGAAATTTGAGAAAGAAAACTTGCGTTGGAACTTATTGCATTAATTTCAAGTTGGAGAATCGCGGAAAGCCCACTTTCAATGAAGTTGGTTGCTTTGATCTCATTCGTGAGTCGACGCCCTTGGCGGGGGTTGATCTCTGACAAAACAAGCGCGGAATGAGGGTTGACAACCGCCTGCGGGTCTGTTGATGAAGCTGGAGCGTCTCGTACGTGTACTTTTAGCGCACAATAACATTTTCGCAAACCAGTAAACATCACCGTTCTCTTGCCCTCATCAATGTCCAGGGCCACATCATGGAGCACTTTTAGCTAGAAAGCGCATTGGCTGATACGGTGTGAGGTCAAGGTTTTAAGGCCTTGGATGCAATCCTGAATAAACGTGCGTTTTGAGGTCGATGATCATGTTTAGACACGACGTGGTTAGGTCAGTGAAGAATGCTACTTAACCCTTCAGTGGATAGAACAGTGTAAATATGTTATTAACGAATAACTGCAGTAAATTAGGTCATTTTTATAAAAACGATGGTGAATACCACGAGATCGAAGTCTACGCACAGCATCAGAACACAGACTGTGTCGATTTAACTGACCTTGAAAGAACAACATCTCAGATGCTTTAAAATAACCGGCTTATTTAATAACCAAGATAGAGAGGGTGCTTACATTCATAGTGTCCTCCACCACGAGCCAATCAGATTTAGCACCTCAGATTTCGATGGGAGCGAAATCACTCAAGTTAATGAATGTCCTTGAGTCAAACAAGGAGCCGAGTTAAAGCTGGTGAGTGTTTACATGTGAATTGGCTTTGTTCGCAAGCACATTCGACGACGCATTGGGCGTTGGTGTCAGTGGTGTCATCGACGAAGCTGGTGTTTGATTTGGAGATGTCGCACGACATTTGGCAGCAGTCTTCATTGCGAGTTTATGGTGGGCAGGCGGAAGTGAGAGGTAAAGTAGTGGAACACCTGGAACAGCAATAATCATGGC